CAGCCCTGCCCCGCTGCCTCCCCGTCCCCTGCCTGCAGCAGGCCCTTTGTTTCTGGAAAAGACATGATTTCCAAGCTGAAGAGCTGAGAGGAGAGGACCAGGGCAATTGGGGGGTCACATTCAACCCAGTCTGGGTGCAGAAACAGCGCCTCGGGAGGAGCCCACTCCTGCCTGGGCTCCCCATTCTGTGGGAGACAGTCCAGAAGACTGATGAGAGGGCAAGGGAGGGGAAAAAGACAGGAAGGGAGGAAGAATTGCTGCCCATTATACCTGTCCTTTGGCAAGGCCGGGTAATTAGCAAGCCCTCGGCAATAAAATATTTCGTTTCGGTGTAATTGCAAAGTAATTATGTGGTATGGGTTGTGTATTAATCGTGTTGATTAATTACACTCAGGTAGTAATTAAACATCTGCTTCATAATTGGGTGCAGCCTGAAGCTTAACACACACACACACAACACATATGCACACACGCGTGCCTGCGCCTCATGCAAAGCTCCTGGGTCTCGATGCTCATTCGTGTGTGCGAGTGTGTGTGTGTGTGTGTGTGTGTGTGTGTGTGTGTGTCTGACAGACAGCCTGGCTGAGTTAGGAAACTGCTCCCTCTACCGCTGTGCAGTGAGGCCCTTTGTGCCCAGCCTCAGCTGGGGCCCGTGCTGTGCCACCCAGCAGCCCCTCTCGGAACAGCCCGAGCCCCGTGTTGGTCTCCTTTCTGATGAGCTGGGTCTGCACACGGTCTTAGTGCCCCACCCGGGGTGGTGGGCTGGCGCGTCGCAGCACTCAGCTGCTACGTCCCCTCCTGCACGTCGCGGTGTTTGGCTTTGGGGGTCCTTTCTTGGCAGGTCACTTTTCCCCAGCAGGGAAAGCACCTCAGCTAAGGTCAGGGGACACCACAGCACAGCCCTGAGCACCGGGTTTAATGACCTGGTCCCAGGGCTTGCAGGGGCCGGGCAGGGCTCTGACCTGGCTCTAACTTGACCCTGCCCTTCCTCGCTGTGTGATCTCGGCAGGCCCTTCCCCTTCGCTGTCTCTCTGGCTCCTGGTCTACCATAAAGAAGGCTGAGCTCTGCAGCCTCTGAGGGGCTTTCCAGTCCTGCCGCACTCAGATTCTAATTTGGTTTGCACTAATTAGAAATCGGAGACAATTTAAATTCAATACATATGATCCTCAGTGAGTAAACAATCGGAAACAATTCCTTCCTTTATGGCTTTCCAAAGACTCACTCATGAGCAATGAGAAGCCGACTAAAATCAATAGCTTTTATTTTTCAGACAGAGAAATGATAGGTTCTCTGAGCTGCTGGGCATTGCAATTCATTCCTGTGCTTTAAAATTTTATGTTTATGTTTATGGACTGCCATTAGGTCATATGGATCCATCCTGAAGGTTGATTTTTTTCATTAACTTAACTCATTTTACTTATTAGTTCACATTTATAGCTTGGGTTTAATAAGCACCCAGCGCAAAAGTCATAAACCAGTCCTTTCCTTTAACAATATTTTAAAGTCAAGACTCTTCCCTGAGTCATCCGGGTTTATATGCTCATAACCTGCTTCTCCCGTGACCCGAGGCCCAGGCTGCCCAGTTCTCACTGCTTGTTCGACCTTGAGCCTCAGTGTCCTCATTTTAATAGGGAACGCATCGCCCGTAATAAACCAATACCTCTTAAACAGCAAGCGTCCAGCAAAATAAAATCATGACAGTGAATACAATTAAATAAAATAATTCTTTAAGGGACCACCAGGTAGCGTGGTGGTTAAGGTGCTGGGCACTCCCCCATGGCTGACCAGGGTTCAAGTCCTGGACCCGGCGACTTGCTTTCTCGCTTTCCTCTCTCTCTCTGTATGTCTCTCTCTGGTCAAATTAAAATAAATAAATGAATAAATAAAATTTTAAAAAGAATTCTTTTAAAAAAGCAAGCACTCAGCAGTCACTGTATTCAGAGTAGTTCTCGCATGTAATCTGGTTGACTCTCACACCCCGATGAGGTGGCTTTAATTTCCCCCCTTTACAGGGAAGGAAACTGAGGCCACACCGTGGGCAGTGGGGAGCTGGCATGCAAACCCTACCTGTTTAAATTCTGTCTCCATCTTCCCTCTCCATCTCTCTCCCCTACCTCAACCTGTCAGACCCAGCCAAGCCCCTCTCCACCCGTCACCCCTTTGTCACTGCCCACCTCTCAGCCAGGCCCTGCCCCTCTTCCTTCCATCCTCTTGTCACGCGTTTTCACTCGCCCGGGTGCCTTGGGGCTTTTGACCTGGCTGAAGCACCCCTCTGCTCCGTGACTTTCAGTGGCTCCCCATCGCCTGTGGATAAACCTCGTCACCCGTGGCCTGCCGTCCCAGGGCCATAACCGTCCAGCTCTTCCCTTCCCTTCCTGCCCCATTTCCCATTCTCCCCAGAGGCAGCCTCGGCTCATGGTCTCGAACACCCACCCTGCACTCGGGTACCTCCGGGCCTTTGCCTGCCCTGTTCTCACTGCCCATACTGTCCCCCTCTCATCTCCATGCGCTCAATATGCTGCCTCCCCCAGGAAGCCATCCCTGGAGCCTCTCTCTTCTGAGCTCATAGCAATATACTGAGCCCCTCCGTAGCCACCTGGAACTACAACCAGGGAAGTGTCTACGCCTCACCCATTCCCGGTGCCCTGAAGTCCAGGTACACAGCAGGTGGTCAGCAAATGCTTCCCACACGAGTGAGTGCTCACGGTCCGCTCGGTCTCCAGGAAACAGAACGCCCGTCGTCGTTAAATGCAATCAGCCCCGTGGAGGAATGACCTGCTCCACATTCTGCCTACGTCCAGCGCTCTGCCCTTCTGCCTTCCGCCCCCAGGCTGCCCTCTGCCTTCCTAGAATTGTCACATTTCCTCTCGGGGACGCTCAGCAGACTGTTTGTCCTCTCTTCCCTAAAGCTCGCTGCCGTGCGAACGGGCTGGCCGCTGGCACCTGGGTCCCAGCTACGGCGTTAGGAGAGAACGCTGTCACGAGAGCTGGACCCCTGGGGCGGGCAGCACTGTGTGTGAGCTGGGGGAGCCTCAGGCGTCATCGTTCATTTCGTTCACGAGACAGAGACAGAGACAAGTACGTCCACAGGTCCCCCTCCAGAACCTCTGCCCTCACCCTAGCCCTCCCAGACAGCCAGGGCACGCATGGGCCGACCGGGAACCGAACCCGTGACCCGCCTCACATGGGCTGCACAGCCACACCCACCTCAAGAGAGCCCAGGGAGGCTGGGAGCTGTGGCAGGTGTGGCTGAGGCAGGGACCCCGGGGCAGCCCTGCGGCCTGCCCTGCTGCCAACCAGCTCGGTGCACCATCTCTGCGTCCATCATTTCCTCCTCATACCTTTGGGGAAACCCACCCCACCCCTCCGAGAACGTGTCCCTGTTCTCCCCGCAGGCTGCCGTCTGGCGTGACATTAGCGCTCAGCAGCTTGCAGCACGCCGGTGACATTTGCATTTTGCTGGCTGGCGACATGCGGGCTGTGCTCGGCGCTGGGGCGGGGATCCTGCAGGCAGGTGTGGGGTGTGCAGCCTGGAGGGGGCGGCAGCCGGGTGCGGGCACACCACTCCCCGGGAGGCAGAGAGCGGGTAGGGGCAGGCGGAAGAGACCAGGGCAGAGGCACTGTTCGTCTAGACTTCCCAGGGACACAGGACAGCCCCGGTCTGCTCCAGCTCCCCTGACGTACACGCGCACACGCGTAGACGCACACATGCACACACGCTCCTCCTCCCTACACTTCTCTAACATTCAGTGAACAGATCGTGTGTGCCAAATGCTCTCCTGTGGGCTTGCAAACTTCAGAAACTCTAACTCCAGTTATGGTGGGCAGAGGTGCTCTTACTACCTGTTGCAGGCAGGGATCGATTCTCTGAGAGGGCCCCTGACACCCCAGAGCCCCACTGCCAGAAAGAGCCTGCCCCAGCATGTGGCCGAGGTCCACAGGCGGCAGCCCCTAAGCCCAGGCTCACAGGGGGCCCTCCCTCCTGCCCCTTGTCTGGGCGTGAACACGGCCAGGAAGCACTTCTCACTGTGACCCATGAGGGTAGTGGCATGCGGGAGCCTCCTGTGTGTGCCTGGGCCATCCCAGGGCTGAAGTGTGACACCATGGAGGAGGGAGCAGCCCCTGGCCGCGAGTCAGGCAGACCAGGTGTAGGTCTCCCTGTGTGACCAACTTGCCGTGTGACTTTGGGCACGCCACCACCTCTGTGTGGGCACGGGACTCCTCAGTGACAGTGACATCAACCTGGCTGGCTAGAGCACCCCAGGAGTGCCTCCCCCTCAGCACAGACCTGCGCAGTTTCCTCCACTCCCTCAGACGCAGAGAGTGATGCTTGATGGCCCCGCGAGTCGTGAGCCTGCACTGAGCCTCCGAGCCTGCCCAGGCCCTGTGTGGGTCTCAGTGGGCCCGACACCCAGTGCGCTTTACTCAGGGCACGCGAGTCATTGTGGCTTGTCGGAAAAGTCATGCACATTTTTGCATAGAAGAAATACCTCGTGACTTTTCCGATGACCCAATGGAGTTGTTTCCAGGCTAGTTCAGCCCAGACCTAGATGAGGGGTCCCCAATCCTGACGTGCACCCCCAGGCTCCTACACTCATTGCCTCATACTATCTCCTGCAGGGCCAGGAGGGCACTTAAAACAGAAAAAAGAGACCTTGGGGGCCAGCAGGTGGCGTAGCGGCTAAGGTAATGGACTCCTACGTGGCCGACTGAGGTCTGAATCTTGATAGTGACTTGAAACTCACACCGGGCATGTGTGCGTGCATGCCCAAAACCCCGAGAGGAGAATGGAGAAGAGATTAGGGCATGGCCATCCCCCCTGGGGGCGGGTGATTTCTTGCTTTCGGTCTCTCTGTCTCTTTCTATCTCTCTGGTGAGCACACACGCCCAATAACAAAAATTTTTCTAAAAAAAAAAAAGAGAGAGAGAGGCCTTGCTGGATGGAGCGAGGTGGTGCGGTCTCCCTCTGAGGCACTCATGCTGTGCTTCTCTCTGACAGGTGGACTTCGCCTGCACGGCCTCCAGCTTACCGGGGCCAGAGCTTCTGACGCCGTCATCCGAGCGATCGAACCGTTGAACCTGAGCGCCGGAAACACGCCCATACCCCTACTACAGAATTCCCAGCTACCAGGTAAGGTTGCTCGGCAGGGGTGCTGTGCTACTTCTGTTGTTTTGTTGTTACAAGGAGCCACCACCATCCCCCACCCCCCACTTCCTGCCACAACATCCTCTTATCCCCTTCAGGGGCAGAAGCGCCCAATGGAACTACCAGTTACAAGCTGTGTGACCTTGGACAGGTTCCTCAACCTTTCTGTGTCTTTGCTTCCTCCTTGGTCAAATGAGGAAACAACCGCGCCCACCCCTTAGGCTTGTGGCAAAGGTAAAAATGAGCTAATATATGAAAAGGACTTAGAGCAGGAGTGACTTGCAGTTCACTAAGCGCCCAATCAGTGGTGGCTGTTGCTAGCCATACCCCTGCACTCAGGACAATCCATCATTAATTCATTCTCACAGGGGCCAGCAGGTAGCGTAGTGGTTAGGTCACTGGACTCCCACATGGCCTGTCGCAGCTCCAGTCCCAGATCCAGCGGCTTGAAACACGCCAAGCGCGTGTGCATGCATTCCCATGATCCCAAGAGGAGAATGGAGTAGAAGGGATTGTGGTGTGGCCATCCTTCCTGGGGGGTGATTTCTCGCTTTCTCTCTCTCTGTCTTTCAGTGAGTGTGCACGCACTTTAGCAAAAAATCTCTCAAAAAATCAAAGCTCATTCTCACGTCGATGGTGTGGCTCCTGACCTAGACTGTGGACTCCGTGAGGGCAGGATGCTCTGTCTTATTCTTAGTTGAATACCCAGATCCTGGCATAGGAAGCTGGCCCGTTACTTGTTGAATGAATAAATGAGTGAATCATACGGAGTCCTTGAAACAATCCCGAAATGCACTTATGTCAGAAAAGATGAAGGATTGTTCACGTGTGATAAAATGACAGTTCTGTAAATGAGTGAGGGGTTAATGTGTCTCTAAGTCAAGTTCTGGGCCAAGACAGTTCTTTCAGAGAAAATGTCAGGCCCAGGTTCTGTGGCTCCGCCTTTCTTTAGTCTCTGTCCTGGTCAGCAAGAATGGTGAAGTCAAAGGAGGAGCAGATGTTAAGGGACACATACATCAATCATGCCCCATTGGCTAGAACATAGTCATGTGACACTTGAGCTGCAAGGAAAGCTGGGAGTTATTGTCTTTGATCTGGCTGGCTATCTGCTGGATTATAATTCTATTACCATAAAAGAAGAATGTGGATACTGGGGACCCCTCTGCTTGACTACATAAAATAATTATAGGTTTTTATTATTTTTTTTCAACTTTCCCTCCCTTCCTTCTCCCCCGGCAACCAGTGATCTTTTTACTGTCATTATAGTTTAGCCTTTTCCAGAATGCCACATAATTGGAACCATATGCTGTGTAGCCTTGCAGATTGGCTTCCTTTTCTTTTTTTTTCTTTTTTTAAGTTTTTTGCCATGGAGCGTGTGTGCTCACCAAAGACGGAGAGAGAGAAAGTGAGAAATCATTTTCCAAAAGGATGCCCATGCCACAATTCCTCCTCCTCCTCCATTCTTCTCTCAGGACCTTGGGCATGCACGCACACATGCCCAGCTTGATTTTCAAGTCACCAAGTCTGAGATTTGAACTGCACAGTCAGCCATGTGGGATCTGGCCACCTTAACCTCCATGCCACCAGCAGGCCCACTATATAATTGCTTATGATATATTGCTGTTTTACAGGAGTATGGGCTGATTTTTGCTTTCAAGTACTCATGGCTAGTATTCTAGTAAACAAACTAAATACCACTTTAGGATAAGACTCATTTATTGAGGGAGGAAACTGGAAAAGTTTGCCAGGATTATGACAACATGTAAAAGAAAGCTGGTCCCCCCAGCTTGATTTTCAAGCCACAGTTCCAAGACTCAAACCATTTGTGGCCATGTGGGAGTCCAGCGCCTTAACTGCCACACCGCCTGGTGACCCCCAGATTGGCTTCGTCTAGCACTATGCAGTCAAGTTCCCTGTGTCTTCTAGGGCTTGATAGCTCATTCTCTATTACTGCACACTGTTTCACTGGCTATGCCTAAAAGTATGTCTACTTGCTCACTCACCAAAGGACACCTTAGCTGCTTCCAATGTTTGGCAGTGGACTAAAGTGTCTATGAACATTGTATGCATGTTTGTGTGAACTTGAGTTTTCAGCTTATCCAGGTGATTGCCTAGGAGCATGACTGCCAGTTGTATGATAAGACAGTTCCCTCTGCAAGAACCCACCCAGCTATCTTCCAAAGTGGCTACATCGTTTTTGCATCCCCAGCAACGAAGGAGAGTGTCCTACTCCCCAAATTCCCACTAGCAGTTGGTGCCATCCATTTTGCGAGTTTTGTCCCATTAAGTGTGCAGCCAAATGATTCCCATTCAAGAGCTGGCACAGCAGGCAAGAGCTCCAGAACTTCCATGGCCTGCTTGACACCAGAAGCCAGGACTCCCCTGCCACACCCTGTAGTCTCTCCCCATGGCAGGTCTCCCTGAGACTGTGCATCAAAGACCTGGGGTGACCCTTCCTGCCCCAAAATCAGGACAGGAAGAATCCCAGGACCCTCACTCATTGTTTAGTGTCCATCTTCCCGCCATGTGGAACATCCACGGGTCAGGACAATAAAGGCCGGGGATAGAGTGGAGGCTCTGAGCCAAGGTTCAGGGTCAGCCAGAAAAATAACCACGGGAGGGGCCAGACAGCAGAAAGACTGGAGTGCAGGCAAGCAGCCCTCCAGTCTTCCAGTCTGGCTTTCCTGAAGCTCCTTGGAAGAAAGGGGGAAGGAGGAGGCAGTTGCAGATGGGGAAAGGGTGCAGGGGTGCAGGCGAGCAGACGTGCCTCGTGGCCCCGGCTGACCTCCTCCACGCCAGCTCTGTTACGCATTTTGGATGCCATGTATGATTTCATTTGAAAAGAGACCATTCTGCGGAGGAAAGATGGAAAACCACAGCTCACGATATCGCTCCCAGGCAACTGTGGCCAAGTGCATTTTAAGCTCTGCCCCTTGCTTGGTTTTGGTCAACCACAAACCGCCTGGCCCTTTCCCAGCTTCCCTCCTTCTCTCTGGCTGTGGACTCGCAGCCCTGACTCACGACCGCCCCGCCTTGTATGGTGTGCTCAGCACTTCTGGGTCAGTGAGGGGTTAGCCAGCAGCCACTGAGCACCTACTGCGTGCCGGGAACTGTGGGCTGCGGGGCACAGAGAGGGAGCCAGTTCAAAGGTCCCTGACCCCTCCCTGGGAGATCCACCAGCACCTGGGCCCTCCTGTGAGTGTCTTGTCCCCCTCCCTCCTTCAGGGTCTGAGCACAGTAGGGCTGCGTGGAAGACGCAGGTCGGTTATTTTCCGCAGTCTTTAAGCAGCCTGTGAGGCCGGACGGTGGTGCCGTGTGAGGGCAGGGATCTGTGAGGCTGGCCATGTGCGGAGCTTCTGGGCTCATGTGCAGAAGCCTCCCTGAGTACACTGGGCATGCGTGTTCGGAGCATGGATGGACAGAGGGACAACTAGAGTGGATTCTCCGTAACACTGTCCCAGCCCCAGTGCAGGTGGTGGAGATGCCAATCCCGGCCCGTTTCCGTGACCATTCGAATTCAACTCCCAAGGGACACCAGTAGTTGTCAAGCAGGGAATGAACTCAAACCAAAGGGTCTTGAGCTTATGGACTGCTCAGTCTCAGGGGCGGGAGGCAGCCTGGCATACGCCCCGACTTAAGGACCAGACCAGATGTCAGATCGGTGGGCGCTGGGACCCCACTCCAAGGCCGGGTGGCCCTGGGCGAGCTACTTCACCTCGATCAGCTGCTACTTTCTCGTATTGCTAGATAATGCGGCGGCACGAGTAGCTTCCAAGTCATAGGCCCGTGAGGAGCTCGGAGTTAAATAACGGGACCCAGCACACACGGCCGAGCGCCGGCACGCAGTGCTTCTCCAGAGAGCGCGCGCCCCGTCAGCCACCGGTCACGTAAACAGCTCTCTTCCAGACGGATTTCTGCAGACCAATTTGCACTTTAACACAAAAATTACTTTTAAAAGTTATTATTACAGGACTAATACACGATCTCTAAAAATTTAACTGCTCCAGAAGGATATGAATTCGAGAGCAAATGACCCTCCCCCCACCTGTCGACTGTGATCCCTTTTCTCCAGCAACATCCTCTTTCTTGTCTTTTTTTTTTTTTTTCCCCTCCTTAAGGGCAGGGCAAAGGCATGCAGCCAGGAGGGGATGGTGGTTGTGGCAAATTGCCATCCAGGCTGGGAGTCCTGAGGCTGGCGTCTTTGCGGTCCCATTGAAGCCGGGCAGTGTGGTGTCCCATGAGCAGCCTGGCTTCCCTCACGTGTTTGCTGAGTCCTGAGGTCTCTAGTGCACCCTGGGGTCTCAGTCCCAGGGAGGGGGCGACCTGAGCCATGCAACATGCAGGCCAGTCTCTGAGTGCCTGCGTGGCAGGTGCCATGGGGCCCCACCTCTGTCACCCTGTCCCAGGGATCCATCCAGCCCCAACTTCCATGGCTAGATCTTATCCACTCCCTGAGGGTCTGCAATTCCGTGCCTGTGTTTTTTTTTTTTTTCCCCTCCTTAAGGGCAGGGCAAAGGCATGCAGCCAGGAGGGGATGGTGGTTGTGGCAAATCGCCATCCAGGCTGGGAGTCCTGAGGCTGGCGTCTTTGCGGTCCCATTGAAGCCGGGCAGTGTGGTGTCCCATGAGCAGCCTGGCTTCCCTCACGTGTTTGCTGAGTCCTGAGGTCTCTAGTGCACCCTGGGGTCTCAGTCCCAGGGAGGGGGCGACCTGAGCCATGCAACATGCAGGCCAGTCTCTGAGTGCCTGCGTGGCAGGTGCCATGGGGCCCCACCTCTGTCACCCTGTCCCAGGGATCCATCCAGCCCCAACTTCCATGGCTAGATCTTATCCACTCCCTGAGGGTCTGCAATTCCGTGCCTGTGCCCTCGCTGCCACCCCTGGGAAGAGCCCCAGGTCCCAGGGAATGCTGTTGGCATTAGGCTGCCGTGGGCCTGGCATGCCCACACACCTACCGAACCATCGGCGCAGAGCAGACTCACAGCA